TCTTTTTTATATCTTTATTTACAGTTTGCAGATTTTTTTAAGATATATATAAACAAGTTCCTTTAGATATAAATTTGATATACAGACTTTTAGAAATAAATGCATAGTTAAATACACACTCTTACATATATATAGATTATATATCACTCGAAGCGAAAAGGAAAAATCATTAAACTAAGTTTCTGTTAAAACAACATTATAAACAAAAAGCAAATATATATTTATAGGACTATGTTACAAATAGTGCAATAATGTTTCCTGCTAGCACAATATGTTTTTAATACTAAAGTTACATGTGTACTGTTTTTAATTGTACAAGTCTACATGAAATCGAAGCCATACAATGTTCTGTCTAGTTAAGGTCACATAATTTCAACCCAAATTAATTCTTCTAAATAAAAAAAAGGAATATTATTAAAGGGAAGCATAGCTTCTTTATTTAATCGCTGTTCGACATGTATATTTTTTTTACATTATCTACTTTGCAATTAACTCCTTTTTTTCCAAAATTCACACAAGTACAAAAAAGTTAATGCAGGGAATGTTTGTCTTCTCAGAGGAGTACATCCTTAGGAAAAATACCAACATTAAATACAGTGATAGTCTTTCCGTTTATTCTTTGTTGGTAAAACCACTGTGTGCCCAACGTTTTAGTTCAACCGGATTAGGTGTGAGTGTGTGTGAGAGGGTGTTTGCGCGGGTGGTGTGTGGCTGTTTGGTGTGCCCCTGTGTGGTGTGTGCGTGTTATAAGTGTCTGTTTGGTGTGCACATGTTATGTGTGCCTGTGTGGTGTTTGCCTGTATGATGTGTGCCTTTGTGGTGTGCGCTTGTGTGATGTGTGTCCGTTTTGTGTGTGCCTGTGTGGAGTTTGCCTGTGTGGTGTGTGCCTACGTGGTAAGTGCCTGTTTGGCGGTTCCTGTGTGGTATGAAGCCGTGTAGTGTGTGCATGTGTGGTGTATACATATGTGGTGTGTAGTATGTGCCTGTGTGGTATGTATGTGTGTGCCTATGTGGTGTGTAGTTGTGTGGTGTATACCCGTGTGGTGGGTAATTGTGTGGTGTGTACCTGTGTGGTGTTTGCCTGTGCGGTGTGTGCCTGTGTGGTGTGTGCATATTATGTGTGTATGTGTAGTTTGTGCCTGTGTTATAAGTGTCTGTGTGATGTGTGCCTTAGTAGTGTGTGCCATTGATGTGTCTTCATGTGGGGTGTGTACTTGTGCGGTGTGTACCTGGGTGGTGTGTGCATGTTATGTGGGTTAGTGTGGTTTGTTGTTGTGTGGTGTGTAATTGTGTAGTGTTAACCTGTGTGGCGTGTACCTGTTTGGTGCGGCATGTGTGGAATGTGCCGTTGTGGTGTATACCTGTGTGGTGTGTAATTGTGCGGTGTATACATGTGTGGTGTATGCCCGTGCGGTGTAAGCCTGTTGTGTGTGTTCCTGTGTGTCATGTTCCTGTGTCGTGTCTGCATGTTTTGTGTGTACGTGTAGTGTATGCCTGTGTGGTATGTGCCCGTGTGGTGTGCGCCTGTGTTGTGTGCCCTTGTGGTGTCTTCCTGTGTGGTGTGTGTAGTTGTGTTATGTGTACCTGTGTGGTGTGTGCATGTTTTGTGTATACATGTGTTTTGTTGATGTGTAGTGTGTGTACGTGTGGTGTGTACCTGCATGGCGTGTGCATGTTATATGTGTGCGTGTGGTTTGTTGTTGTGTGGTGTGTAATTGTGTCGTGTGTGCCTGTGTGGCGTGTACCTGTGTGGTGTGGCATGTGCTGTGTGTGCATGTGTGGTGTGTGCCTGTGTGGTGTGTGCATGCTATGTGTGTTTGTGTAGTTTGTGCAGGAGTGATGTGTGCCTGTGTGATGTGTGCCTGTGTGGTGTGTATTTGCGTCGTTTGTGCATATGTGGTGTTTGCGTGTTATGTGTGCCTGTGTGGTGTGTAACTGTGTGGTGTGTGCCTGTGTGGTGTGTGCCTGTGAGGTGTTTGCCTGTGTGGTGTGTGCATATTTGGTATGTGCCTGTGTGGTTTGTGTACATTTGTTGAGTGTGTCTGTGTGGTGTGTACATGTTATATGTGTACCTGTGGTTTGTTCCTGTATGATGTGTGCCTGTGTTGTGTGTATGATATGTGTGCCTTTGTAGTGTGTGCTTGTTTTGTTGTCCCATGTGGTGTATGCCTGTGTGGTGTTTTGTCCGTGTGGTGTGTTCCTTTCTGGTGTGTGCCTGTGTGGTGTGTGTTTGTGTGGTGTTTAATTGTGTGAAGTAAGCCTGTGTGGGATGTGCCTTTGTTGTGTGCGTGTGTTGTGTGTGCCAGTTTGGTGTGTAATTGTGTGGTGTGTGCCTGTATGATGTGTAATTGTGCGGTGTGTGCCTGTGTGGTGTGTAATCGTGTGGTGTTAACCTGTGTGATGTATATCCGTGTGGTGTGTGTATGCTATGTGTGTCTGTGTGTGCCTTTGTATTGTGTGCTAGATTTGTTTTCCCGTGTGAAGTGTGCCTGTGTGGTATGTCATGTGTCGTGATAATTGTGTGAAGTAAGCCTGTGTGGGATGTGCCTTTGTTGTGTGCGTGTGTTGTGTGTGCCAGTTTGGTGTGTAATTGTGTGGTGTGTGCCTGTGTGATGTGTAATTGTGCGGTGTGTGCCTGTGTGGTGTGTAATCGTGTGGTGTTAACCTGTTCGATGTATATCCGTGTGGTGTGTGTATGCTATGTGTGTCTGTGTGTGCCTTTGTATTGTGTGCTAGATTTGTTTGCCCGTGTGAAGTGTGCCTGTGTGGTGTGTCATGTGTCGTGATCATGTATGTCGTGTACAAATCATGTATGCCTGTGTGGTGTGTGCCTGCGTGGTGTTTGCCTGTGTGATGTGTGAATATTATGTGTGCCCGTGTGATGTGTGCCTGTGTAGTGTGTACTTGTGGTGTGTGTTTCTGTGTGTCGTCTTTATGTGTAGTGTGTGCATGGTATGTGTGTACGTGTGGTGTAAAGCATGTGTGGTTTGTGCTCGTGTGGTGTGCGCCTGTGTGGTGTGTGCTCTTGTTGTGTCTTCATGTGTACTGTGTGTACTTGTGTGGTGTGTGCATGTTATGTGTGTACGTGTGGTTTGTTTCTGTGTGGTGTGTGCCTGTGGTGTGTGTGCCTGTGTGGCGTTTACCTGTGTGGTGTGTGCCCTTGTGGTGTCTTCCTGTGTGGTGTGTGTACGTGTGTGGTGTGCGCATGTTATGTGTGTACGTGTGGTTTGTTTCTGTGTGGTGTGTGCCTGTGGTGTGTGTGCCTGTGTGGCGTTTACCTGTGTGGTGTGTGCCCTTGTGGTGTCTTCCTGTGTGGTGTGTGTACGTGTGTGGTGTGTGCATGTTATGTGTGTACGTGTGGTTTGTTTCTGTTTGGTGTGTGCCTGTGGTGTGTGTGCCTGTGTGGCGTTTACCTGTGTGGTGCGGCATGTGTTGTGTGTGCATATTATCTGTGTACGTGTGTTTTGTGTCCGTGTGTTTTGTGTCCGTGTGGTGTGTGTCTGTGCGGTATGCGCCTGTGTGGTTTGTGCATGTTATGTTTGCCTGTATGGTGTGTAATTGTGCGGTGTGTGCATGTGTGGTGTGTGCATGTTATGTGTGCCCGTGTGGTGTGTGTCCGTGTGATGTGTGTCCGTATATTATGTGCCTGTGTGTTGTGTGCCCGTGTGGTGTGTGTCCGTGTGGTGTGTGTCTGTGTGGTATGTGCCTGTGTGGTTTGTGCATGTATGCCTGTATGGTGTGTAATTGTGCGATGTGTGCCCGTGTGGTGTGTGTCCGTGTGATGTGTGCCCGTATGGTGTCTGCCGGTGTGGTGTGTGCCTGTGTGTTGTGTTACCGTGTGGTGTGTGTCCATGTGATGTGTGCATGTTATGCGTGTCTGTGTGGTATGTGCCTGATTGGTTTGTGCCTGAGTGGTTCTTGCATGTTATGTATGCCTGTGTTGTGTGTGCCCATGTGTTTTGTGCCCGTGTGGTGTGTGCCTGTGTGGTGTCTGCCTGTGTGGTGTTTGCCTGTGTGATGAGTGTCTGTGTGCTGAAATGATAAAAAAAAATGTGAATCATCTCATAATGGTCAATCAGGCCATTGTCTAATGCGGTCTTTTAACCAATGAAAAACATGTCATTTCGCGAAAGATGTTGAATTTGTTTCTTCAATCCTCACAAACGCTTTAGAAACATCCCATTCACCAACTTTGATGAAAACCACAGCAAAAGAGAAGAAGTTATAGCTTGATTTGTTTCAGCAAACCAGAAGCTATGAATAGAATGCACCTGTAAGCTTATTCCTGAATAGACATGACCGAAAAATGTCATTATTGTCTGCGCAGTAGTTTTGTGAAATGCGTCGGACAAAATCTGGCAAATCGAAAATCAAAGATGAAAACAGGATAAAAGAAAACTCTCATCTCGCCTGGAGGACTTCAAAACATAACCCCAGGCTCATTCCAAGGATTCAGTAATACTTAAAACGAAACAACAGCATTGTGTCTTCAAACTGGGACTTAACCAGTTGATAAAAACTGGTGGTATAGGATTTAAAAGCAGGCTATAAGAATGTTTTGCCTGAAATCTGGAAACTAACTATGCAGGCTGTTAACCTCTTGTTACATGAGTGTCAAGAGTGTATCACTAAATCTTGAAATAAATCTTGAAAATCTTGGAAATGTATAAGTAAGCCATCACATGTATATACCACAATCTCTAGGACTAATAATCAGTGTTCGTACGTGACAACCAGTAATATGTCTATCCAGAACAGGATTTCACCCCCAGGTGAGAATTCGTGCAGGGCGTGTACTCGTGGTGCAAACTCAGCAAACTTAGCACGGCTTTCAACCAGTTAATAAACTGTACAGGGGTGAGAAATCGTGTTGTACCGCAGCAAACCTAGCACGGTTTATCGCCCGATTGATATATCGTGCACGCGTGAGAAATCGTGGCAGAAGAGTCCCCTCCGATCCACTGAATACATATAAATAATTAAAATATGTTAAATCTTACCAGAAATGTTCTTAACAAAGGAATCTCCTTGGTTTGATGTGGGATGTCGGGAGAATTAGGAATACACCTTGAAGGGTCCAGAGAATGGAGAAGTGAACTGTTCTCATCACGGTTGATGCTGTCGGGATGATATTTATACGATATGTTAGTTCATCACAGCGTATTCCGAAAATATTAGGTCATCTCAAATTAGAATTCCACACCGTCTTTAATCAGCTATGAACTTTTCAACATTCAATGTCTACAAGAATGAACATTCAAACTTTTGTATAGATACCGATATACATTCAGCGCTGTGTTACATCAGCATGAAGAGATTACTTTTCTGGTATTACACAAGTTTAACATCTTATCTCCGTACACGCCGGATCTATTATGACGTGCCTGTTGATATCTGGTTGCTTTATACACACACACAGAGTATGCGTACTTATGTTTATATGAACAATGGTTTCCGTTTTTCATTTTACAGATATAATGAAATTGCAAACGGGTTTTCCTAGAATATGTACTGGAAGCGGATGTGGACGTGGGGCCATGCTTATGTTGTTGTAGTTTGTATTGGCTAGTAGTGCAGACCTAGACTCCCTATAGTAGTATGTAGTGTACCTAGTTACAATGCATATCTGTAATATAAGTCAGTTAATGTACCTTATTCTGGTATCATCTGACCTCTATCCGGTATCCCCTACCTTCCACTGTCTAACCATATCGTTTCCCTGTTGTCTCGGGAAATGGTTGCAGATTGTCTCCAAAGCGGTTGCTGACGTGTGACGATACAAATATGAAAATCAATTTCTAAATCCGCTTCCTGAGGGGAAAACAGTATAGCGTCATCGTTCTGATTCAAAGGACAGTGCGCAATTACCTTTGCACGTTAAGTATAAGATCACGGGGGCCATTTGTTGGTCAACGTGCCGTTCGAATGCAATGGCTGAAATGACCGCACATTTTGTAACGTTTTTGTAAGAGGTTTCCCCAGATCCGTTATAACGCCAAAAGCTTAAAAATGAACAGATGGCAGTGTAAAGACGTATTGTTTAAAAGTTAATGGTACAGTTTTGAGTTGCCGTCAAACCGTATCCATCATCATATGTCAGGTCATGTTTCCTTTCCTATGTCACTGATACTGTAAATATTAAAAAGAATATATTGTGTAGCTTATTAGCGCATATTATCAATCGGAATGTCCCCAGATTGAAGTGAGTTTGATTATTAATTAATTAACATACATTAATTAATATATATAATACTCTTCTCATGTTTTCACATATTGGGCTGATATAAGTTTTTCCTGTCAGGTGCGACCCAATTGGTGAAAAGTGAAAAATAAATAAATATTTTAAGCTTTCGCTTACATGCGAAATTGAAATTAATTAATGCATTTCATTAATTGAAATGACCCAGATTAGATTGAGTTTGAAAAATAAGATACTAACATACAATGATTAATGGATTTAATACACTTTTTGTTATCGTTTATTAGGGGTAAAGTCGTCTACCCAAACTAATTTCATTTATGCGGAACTGCGATGTACGCTGGTTTGGTTTAATTTTGTTTAACGTCCTATTAACAGCTTAGGTCATTTAAGGACGTACCTCAATGTATGTTGTGGATGCTTAAATCGTGTATGTGTGCTGGAGACAGGATATGTTGGTGTAATTGGCTCCCTGTGACAGCGCGGATCTGATGCCGACTGTATAGTGCTATCCCACTGAAATATTATGCCGAAGGCACCCAGTACAGCAATTCTGCGGGTCACATTATACTGACAACGGGTGAACCAGTATATTGCCATTACCCAAAATGCTGAACGTTTAGCAGGGAATAAGTACCATTTTAAGGACTTTGGTATGTCCCGGCCTGGAGACAAAACCCATTGCCTTCCCACCTGGGCAAAGGCTCAACATTAAAGCCAAACGTGAGGTATTGCCAAGCAAAACACTAGGAAAACGTAGTTAGAAAAAGAGTATACAAGATATACAAATAATAACAAATATTGGTTAAACATTGTTCACAGCCAGAAAAGTGTACATGTAAAGTCTATCAATAGTGAGCTGAACTCACTAGCGGAGACTTCACGTATGATGGATTGGGCTAAGTGAACTAAAACTGATCATGGTTTTGGTTGTGTATGGCTTGAACAGGGAGTTGGTGACATTTTTTATTGTTTCAAACAAGAGTTTGAGACATTTTTATACAAGATTGGCAAAGTTAACTGTCAAATCGTCCAGAGCCAGATGTTATGTACTATTTTCACACGAATTCGGTAAAAAGAATTATCTTGATTTGGTTGATATAAAAAAAGTTTCAAAAATGTTTAACTTGTATATCTTCACATAGATTAGATATGGAAGCGGGAAGATGGCATAAACCTAATTCCATGCCACCAGATTTGCGGTTCTGTATCATATGTGCTCTAGTTGAGGATGAATACCATTGCATTATGGGATGCCCATTATACTCTGAAATTATGTCAACAAATCAATACAGGAGATACTTTATATGACCAAATATGGACTTATTGGTAGAATTTATTTCATCGAAGAACAAAACTATACTTCAAAATGTAGTAAGGTATATTTTATAAAGCAAAAGAAATACAATCGGAATAATATTACATTAAAATAACATTAAAATATGTCAGTGTATCCTTCGCTCATAATAATGTAACACTTATTTTTACTATGTACAGATTGCATTAACGCTGCCTGTTGTAAACTTGTCAGAATTTGATTTTTACCGCAACCAGGTTGTAAATATTGTGGATGTATGAAGCACAAAGGCATTAATGTCTATTGCAAGAGATAAATACATATCCTTATCATGTTGGGCTGTTTTAACATAGTGACACGCTACAAAGCCTCCTCTTTGATTGATTGTCTCTGCTGTCTTTAACGGTACACTCTTGACTAATTAACGAAGATTAGTTTTATGAAGTGAAAATCGTTTCTTTTGTTGTTTCGTCAAAGGCAAATTACTTTGTAAGAAGTTGTAAACACACTCACAAATACAATGAATTTAACCTTTCTCGGCCTTTGCGGTGTACTATGTTTTGAACACACTCACAAATACAATGAATATAACCTTTCTCGGCCTTTGCGGTGTACAATGTTTTGAACACACTCACAAATACAATGAATTTAACCTTTCTCGGCCTTTGCGATGATTATTCGACATGCACTTAAGGATTGACCTTCATTTTGACGGCGTATACGGTAGTATAAACGCAGTTGGCAACGAACATATTCTATGGTGCGCGTTAGCGCTCCATTAAGAATATGTTCGTAAGTATAAATCCGCCGAGCCTTTTTTCACTGCGTATATGCCTATTTATACGCAGTCAGAGTTTACTAAGCTGAAGAAGGGAGACATGTACATATAATGTTGTTTACACACCCATAAGTGCAATGGATTAAACCTTTCTCTGTCTTTGCGATGATTATTCTACTCGTACAATGTTTACCTTGACACATATACTGCAGGTCTTTATAGTGGTTTTCAAGAAATTACGACATTTTACAATTGATAGCTCAGAAGAGTACCACCCCCCGGAGAGAAACGTCTGTTTTTTGAAGCATCTCTAGGGTTTTTCATTATTACGATGTAATGGTCATTTATACTGATGTTTCTGTGTTCTCTGTTTTGGAAAAATCATTTTTGAACGATGCACATCACGCTGATATTTTTGTGATGACTTTTCTGTGTAAATAACGACGTCACTGTTGTGTTTACGTCTGCCATTAAATTGTCTATGATGATCAAATGTTTGAATGAAGTGTCCAAATGATCTAAAGTAGGCAAACCTTCGAGAAAATCGACACTTTCTACGAACGCATAAAGACTCTGATATTCTCCGTAACACCACACGATATGATCGGGTACTGCAGTCATCATTTCCTGGATTTTTTTTACGAACTTTTTAACGAACATGCTTTTAACGCCATGTAAGGCCTGCACTCATGCATGTAAAGGACCTTCGGCATGGTACTTCCGTGAGATAGAACTATAAAGTAGGCATCAGATCTGCGCTATCACAAGGAGGCAAATACACCAACATACTCTGTCTCCGGCACACATATCCTGGTTGTATGAATAAGTGTAAGATCATGAATGTGTGAGTTAGTGTTAGATCCTTTATGTATGTGTATATAAGATCCTATATGTGTGAATTCGTGTAAGATCTTGTATGTTTTAATAAGTGTAAGATCCTTTATGTATGAACTTATGTAAGATCCTGTATGTGTGAGTAAATGTAAGATCCTGTACGTGTGAGTTAGTGTAAGATCCTGTATGTGTGACTTAGTGTCAGATCATGTTTACATGAATTAGTGTAAGGTCCTGTATGTATGAATTAGTGTAAAATCCTGTAAATAATAATTAGTTTAAGATAATTTATGTATGAACTTATGTAAGATCCTGTATGTATGAGTTAATCAAATATCCGGTATGCATGAGCTAATGTTATATCCGGTTTGTATGAGTTAATGTAAGATCATGTATGTATGAGTTAATGTAAGATCATGTATGCATGAGTTAATGTTATATCCGGTGTGTATGAGTTAATGTTAGATCATGTTAATGTGAGTTAGTGTAAGATTATGTATGTATTAATAAGTGTAAGATCACGTTTGCATGAATTAGTGTAATATCATGTATGTATGAATTAGTGTAAGATCCTGTAAATATGAATTAGTTTAAGATCCTTAATGTATGAACTTATGTAAGATCCTTTATGTATGAATTAGTGTAAAATCCTGTAAATATAATTTGGTTTAAGATCCTTTATGTATAAACTTATGTAAGATCATGTATGTAGGAGTTAGTTTAAGATCATATATGTGTGAGTTAGTGTAAAATCCTGTATGTATTAATGTGTGTAAGATCATGTTTGCATGAATTAGTGTAAGATCCTGTGTGTATGAATTAGTGTAAGATCTTGTATGTATTAGTTAATGTAAGAGCATGTATGTATGAATTAGTTTAAGATATTGTATGCATAAGATAGTGTAAGATCCTTTATGTGTGAGTTAATGTAAGATCCTGTATGTATTAGTTGATTTAAGATCCTGTAAGTATGAGTTTATGTAAGTTACTGTAAACATGAGTTGATGTAAGATCTTGTATCTAAGATTTAATGTAAGATCGTGTATGTATGAATAAGTGTAAGATCCTGTATGTATAAATTAGTGTAAGATCCTTTATGTGTCAGTTAATGTAAGATCATGTATGTATTAGTTGATTTAAGATCCTGTAAGTGTGAGTTTATGTAAGTTCCTGTATATATGAGCTGATGTAAGATCTTGTATGTATGATTTAATGTTAGGTCTTGTATGTATGAATAAGTGTAGGATCCTGTATGTATAAATTAGTGTAAGATCCTTTATGTG